ACAGTCCCCAGCTCAAGAGATGTAAATTCCAATAGTGTGGCAAAGCAAATCTTGAAGGAACCTCAAATTACAGTGACACAGTCCATGGATTAGGTGTCCCACAGGTAGTGTAGCTTGCAAATGGAGGCACAGAACAAGCAAAGCAGCCACACACTGGTCTGATGATCAAAGAGCAAGAGACAAGAAAGGTGAGGCTCACCAAGCCATTTAACTCTTTGCCCTTCAGTTAATCCCACACGTGTTTATTGGCCAGGTTGACACAATAAACTAACTACCTCAGTGGAACAGAAGCACTAAATATGTTATCTAATTGCATTTTTAAATTATGAAAAAATTACTGGAAGATAGATTTTCTTAGCTTTCATTGGTTTGATTGATTTTTAAAGCCATATCAAGAAAATTATTGTTTAAAGTAAATTATGATTCATTGAATTACTCAGTTTATACCACATGAGTTTTCCTGGTCTGTGACTTGTAGAACATTCATTTCTCCTCCCTCCCTTCTATCTGTTTGTCCATTGCTGTAGAGAGTGAGCAGCTCTTACACTCTAGGCTATGCCTTTTTCCCTAAGAGGCTCATTTCAGACCTTCCACTTTTTAAAATACCACTTCGTTATTCCCTGTGCAAGTGGAAATGCCTATTATCATCAGGTGTCATTTTACTAGTCCACACTCTTAGTCTTCACGAAGTTCACATTGAAGATGAACACTTGCCATGAATCACTGACAGAAGCAGTGCAGAGTTTAAGGTGCCTCCTGCTATTTTTGTTAGGTGCTGTCAAATTGGTTCCAGCTCATCACGACCACTGGATACCGTAGTACTGAACCATGCCCAGTCTTGTGCCAGATCTCTCAAACCACTGCCATATTTGGGCCCATTGTTGTAATCCCTGTGTTAATCCATCTCATTCAGGGTCTTCTTCCTTTTTTGCTGAACTTTTACTTTACTAAGCTTGATATCTTTTTATAGGGACTGGGCCACTTGATAACATGTCCAAAGAAGGTGAGACTAAGTCTCACTATATCCTTCCTTCTACGGAGTATGCTAGCTGTAATTTGTTCATTATGTATTTATTCATTCTGTGTGAGTTCAAAGCGTATTTTATATTCTTCAATAATCCCATCATTCAAAAGCATCGCTCCTTTGGTCTTCTTTATTTATTGTCTCCCGTGGATAGGAATTGCCTCTTGCAATATGTTGCTTGATTTCCAGAGTGCTCCTTCCGTGAGTGTTGATTGTGGATCCCAGTAAGGTGCAATCTTGGACAACTTGGATTTTTCTCTTCCCTCTTGTTTATCACAGTGTTGCATATTGGCTGACTTGTAAGGATTGTTTTCTTTTCTTCCCATTGAGGGGTAATCCACAGTGAAAGCTTTAGTCTCTGACCTTCCTCGGTGTGTGCTTCAAGTCCTCTTCACTGGCAGCAAGCAGGATCGTCTCATCCGTATATCGTAGGTTGTTTATGAGTCTTCCTCCAATCCCGAAGTCATGGCTTTCTTCCTGTGGCCCAGTTAAAGCAGCTCTTCTTAATTCCTTAGGCAAGAGGAATTCTTTCTTTTATTTAAAAAATAAACCTATAGAGCTCTCTATACCTACCCGATAGTCCTAGAGAATGGAGGGTCTGTGCATATGGGGGTTGGGAGGGGTAGCATCTTAGAAAGACAGATTCCTAGGCCCTCAGTCACAGATTCTGATGCAGTAGGGCTGGGGCATTCCAATAACACTGTGTCATGGTGGCCTGGTGGTTAGATGCTTGACTGCTTACCAAAAGCTTGGTGGTTTCAATTCACCAGCCACTCCTTGGGAGAAAGATGAAGTGATCTATACCCTCCATCCCCACCCCTCCCCCCAAACAACAACAGCCTTAGAAACTCCCTGGAACAGTTCTACTCTGTCTTGTGGGGTCGCTGTGAGTTGAAACCCGCTTGATGGCAGTGGGTTTGGATTTGGTGACTCCTTTTGTGTATCCAGTCTTCACGGGGTGCACCCGAGAATCACAGCTTTACGGGGCCCCTTAAAATGCCTTTGTGATTGCCTTACATCGTCATTTCTTATGTTTGTTTTCTGTCTGCTTGTTAAGTCAGGGTAACCTCATAATTGTGGAAATGGCAGTGGTGGGCTGGGCGGGGGGATGGGTCTGACCTCCTTTGGCTACCCCAAGGAGAAGGAAGATCCAACACCACATCTGTTCAAGGATGAGTCTTATGAGGCAGAGGTCAGGCATGCGTCCACCTCTCGTCCTTTATCCTCCTCTGACATCCATCCACTGTCCCTCACGGCACTCCATTTCTCTGCTGGGTTTGATAATTCATCACAATGACTACACGGGACTCACAGTTAACACTCATGATTCTGTGGTTTATTAGAGAAGTTAACAGGTTGCAAGTCAGGATCAAAGACCATCCAGGACACAGTCCCTTTGGCCACAGTGTCTCTTCTCTGCCCTGCTGACAGACATGTCTCCCTCTGGTTGTCGGCCTGTCCCACGTGGTACTTAGGCCTCTGCCCTGCTCTGGCTCCTTTAGTGGTGATAAATGCCCAAGAACATCCCACTCTGCAAGCCAGAGGCACTCAGCTTTACATGTTCTGTGGACTGGGAATCCTGCCACTGCGTCTGAACCAGAGTGACCTCTGGTACCTCTGCTGCTGCCCTACTTCACACTGGGCCACCATGTCATGCAGGAGGTCACAGGTGCTCTGCTGTAGCTCTTCTTTCTCGATGGTCGTGGGATTCTCTTCCTACTTCTGAAATGTTTCTTGTTATGCCCAGCAGGATGGCAAAACTAGCCAATTGCCCCCTTAGAACCCTGTACACCTTTGCATGTTCCTACCCAGTCTCTTGGTGGGAGTTACAAAGACCGCCAAAAGAGCACGCCAATCTGTCTTGGAAGAAGTACGGTCAGAATGTTCCCTAGAGGCAAGAGTGGTGAGACTTCATCTCACGGGCTCTGGATGTGCTGTCTGGAGAAACCAGTGCCCGGAGAAGGACATCATGCTTAGTAGAGTGGAGGGGCGGACAAAAAGAAGTGGTCTTGGACAAGGTGGATTGACATGTGGCTGCAACACTGGGCTCAAGCCCAAAAACAATCGTGAGACCCGCAGAAGACTAGGCGGAGTTTCATTCTGTTGTGCATAGGCTCACCAGGAATCGGACCTGACTCAAAGGCACCTAACCACAACAGAGACTTTGGGTAGAAGAGCCGTACAAAGTCATTTCACTTTACTGCAATAATGTTCCACTGTGAGCATATGCTCACGGAGGTAACTGGGCATTGAAGTTTGGCCTGTGCTCCACTTGACAAGCTGTGGATTCTGTTTCTAATTGATCTGTTTGTACGGGACACCTTTATTTCCCCATTGATCTTGTTAAGGAGTACCTTTTAAATCTTGGACAAAGACTCCTTATGGATTATTGAAAGTAGACCAAACTGGTAGTCTATTGGTGTCGTGTATGGTATGTTCTGATATTTGTAACTTTAACCCGGAAAGCCAAATATCTTTGAAGACTGTCTAGTCCATGAGGTATAATCAACCCAGTCTCCCCCATGGAAGGAAGCTGTGTGGATGATCATGTTTGCCATCTCCGACACAGGCATTGGGGACTGGGACCTAGGACTTCAGGCCCTCTTACAAGCACAGAAAAGTTAGATCCTGGGAGAGTACCGGGTCTCACTCTATGTAAGGGTCTGCCTCCTGTGTACCAGCCTAAAATAAGCACATGCAGGTGGCTCTGGCTTGTGCTCAAGGAGACTTAGGAGCCTCCGGTTACTCCAGAAAGTTCAAAACCTGTCACGGGAACTCTCGCAAGCCTAATGTTCTTGCATTCCACTCTTTTGTAAATATTACAAGCAGTTGGAAATTTACTATAGATGACTGCAGACTTGAGTTGCTTGGTGACTTTAGACTTGAGATGCTTGGTAACCGGCTGGAAGCTTGGCCTAGCAACCGAGTTATTATTGTTGTTTTGATATATAGTTGAGAGATAGTCAATTAATATGGCCCTTCTAGCCATCGTCAGTCACTTTTGTGAGGTATTAAAATTTCTCTAGCCTCCTACACTGTGGCTGTCTTCATTTTGGAGGGCGTTTTCTGCTACGGTAATAGAGAGTGAGAACTATTTCCTGGGGGGGTGGTTTGCTGAAAGACAAAAACCACTCCTCCATCAAAGCCATTCCTCTGTGTCTAAGAGCCATCTTGGACAACCGAAACTCCAAGTCCCAAGGAAGAAGAGCCATTAGAGGAGCACATTCCAGATCTATGAGGGGTACCCCCCAAACAAACAAACAAGCAGAATTGTGCTGGGTGGAGTGAAGCTTTCTTAGTATCCATTTTTCCCACCAGGGAAGCATCGCATCGAGCAGCTTGTTCTGCGTTAGCGCACCAGTGGCGCCTCCTGGGAAGGTTCTTTGAAGTCACAGCGAATTTTTGTGTGTGAGCAGTATCCCTTGAACCTTGTTTTTGTGATGTCCGATTTAAGACAACAGCGTGTGGCTGTGAAATTTTGTTTCCTGCTTGAGAAAAACATCACAGAAACAGTTGTGATGTTGAATCCAACTTACAAAGACAACGCTATGGGAAAAACTAAAGTGTATGAGTAGTTTCTCGTTTGAAAAAAGGCAAAATGTCAGTTGATGACAAACCTCATTCTGGATGTTCATTAACTTCCCGAATAGATAACAATGTTGAAATGAAGTGTATTTGGAGTTCATTCCACCAGGTCAGACTGTTTAGGCTTTCTGTTTCGAGGTTCTGAAAAGATTGCATAACTGTGTGTGTCACAAAAGATCTGATTTGTGGCAGACGGGACTGTATTTGCCACCACCACAATGCACCTGTTCACAGCCATCTCAATGTGCCAATTTTTGGCAAAAAACAGCATGCGTCTCTTGCCCCAAGCACCTAACTCACATGACCTGGCTCCGTGCAACTTCTTTTTATTTCTGTGAATGCAGAGAGACATGAAAGGACAGTGATTTGACAGCGTAGAAGAGGTAAAGAAAAAACAAGGGAGGTGCTGTCAGCCATCCAAACAGATGAGTCTAAAATATGTTTCCCAGAATGGGATCACAGATTTGACATATGGCATTAAGTGTAGTGGAGAGTACTTTGAAGATAGTGATAAGGTCTTGTGAAAAAATTTAAATACATAGCTTTGAAAAAAAAATCCATTTTTGTTTGATGGGGGTATCTCCTTGTATGTCTGAAATGGCAAAGGATGAGACCATAGACACTAGAGGCTGCAGTACAGAGACCATGGTACAGAAGATAGGAGCCAGACTGAGACCCGAGGCCAAGACAAGGAGACCATGAGACAAAACAGAAGAGCAGGGTGGAGACAGACGCTGAGGCAGGGTAGTGGCCAATGGAGACAGAGGCCAAGGGCCCACATAGGACTAAAGAGGCAGAGACTGGGCTGCTGGCTTAGGCCGGGCACTACTGTGGACCAGTGACTACCCCCTCACTGTTAATTCCCCTAATTAACTCCCATTATTGTGAGTTCCGTTTGAATTGTGTGCAGCTCTGTGGAAAGCAGCATAGAAGTAGAGTGTCCTGGGAGGAATGATTAGTGTCAGGATAGGTAAAGCAAGCGGAGGGTGGAGGCCTGTCTGACATCTGTCTCCTGCAACAGAGAAGCCAGAGCAACTCTGATACAGGCCAAGCAGTCGAGAGAAAAGAGGTTTGCTTGGAAAGTGTCATTGATCCAGTGTTACAAACAGATTCAAGATGCTTCTCCCTATCAAATACCAGCTATGTAGAGGTCTAAGTGGTTTAGAGGAGAGAGCTGGCACCTGACTTGGTTGTCCTGGGTCTTGCAAGCTTGCTGCCTCTTAGTGGAAAATTCCTGAGTTTTCATTCTCTAATAAGCTGGTTAATATTCTGTGGTCACGGAAGCAGGATAGCATCAATATTCCGAGTTTCCCGTGCCTGCACTGCAGTGAGAGGAATGCTGGGTACTTGCTGGAAGAATGAAATTTGAGTCTCATTTCCCAAGGGCTCCTCCATAATGTGTGTTACCCTCTTGAGTAATTCCCATAGGGCTCCATCTCAAATGTACAGTAATTTTAAATGATCATTATATATCATGTGTTTATTAAATTTTAGAGTTGATTATCTTCTTCCTCTAGAATGAATTAATGAGTCGTCTTTTCTGCTTTTTTCCCCCCTCAGTTTTTGTGTTTTTTGATCTGACTGTAGATGATCAGTCTGTTTATCCTAAGGAATTGAGAGATGAATACATCTTGTCAAAAACTCTTGGAAGGTAATCTTTCTTTTCTTTGTCCTTATCACAATTGCACATAATTATTTTATTAAACTTTTCTCATTGCTTAGTTTTGGGTTCCTGGTTTTAAAACATTCACTATTTATAAAATATAGTAGTGAATATAAAATAGCTAGAGCGTTCCGTGGGATATTCCTTATGATGGATATATTACTGATTTATTGATAAGAAAGGAAATGAATTTTTTTTGGTATATAAATTTTATCTATTTGACATCTCTTTTATAGCAGTTTTATTAAGATGTAAGTTATGTATCATACAATTTCTCATGTATACTGTACAGTTCTATAGATCTTAGTGAATTCACAGTTTTGCAACCATTTTATTGTTAGTGCCCTGCTCTGTCCCATGTGATCCTCACAATCATTCCTATGTTTCACCCACTGTTGGCAGCTACTGTCAGTCTAGCTCATTGGGGGGTTTCCTCTTTCTGTTGAGCCTCTGCTTTACCAAGCATGATGTCGTTCTTCAGGGACCATCACCACTATGAAACGTAGAACATTTTTTATCACACCCCAAAGCAAGTCGTACTAGTAATCACTTCTTACTGCCTTCTGCCCCTAGCCCCTGGCAACCACAAATCCACTTGTTATCTCTATGGATTGCCTATTTTGGACATTTCATATAAATGGAATCATGCAATATGTGGTCTGTGTATGTGTGCATATTATGTTATTATCTTCTTACCTATATATCTATATATACTTCTATCTATCTATATGGAATAAAGGATATCATTGCTGATGTCAGATGGATCTTGGCTGAAAGCAGAGGAAACCAGAAAGATGGCTATTTGTGTTTTATTTACTATGCCAAGGCATTCAACTGTGTGGGTCATAACAGACTGTGGGTATCCTTGAGAAGAATGGGAATTCCATAACTCTTCATTATATTCTTTTGGAACTTGTACATGGATCAAGAGGCAGTTGTATGAACAGAACAAGGGTATATTGCATGGTTTAAAATCAGAAAAGGTTGTATTCTTTTATCATACTTATTAAATCTGTATGCTGAAAATCATCAGAGAAGCTGGATTAAATGAGGAATTCGGCATCAGGATTGGAGGAAAGCTTATTAATAACCTGCAGTATGCAGATGACCCAGCCTTACTTCTTGATAATGAGGAGGACTTGAAACACTTGCTGATGAAGATCAAGGATTGCAGCCTTCAGTTTGGATTGCAACTCAATGTAAAGGAGACCGAAATCCTCGCAACTACACCAGTAGGTATTATTACTAGTAGGTAATAATGGAGAAAAGGTTTAAGTTACAAGGATTTCATCTCGCTTGGTTCTGTAATCAGTGCTCATGGAAGCAGCAGCCGACATCAAAAGATGCATCGTATTGGGTAAATCGGCTGTACAAGACCTCTTTAAAGTGCTGAAAAGCACGGATGTTACTTTGAGGACTAAGGTGTGCCTGGCCCACGCCATAGTATTTACATATGCATATGAAAGCTGAGCATTAAAGATGACAGACGAAGAATCGGTGCATTTGAATTGCGGTGCTGGCGGAGAATATGGAAAATACCATGGACTGTCAAAAGAACTAACAAGTCTGTCTTGGAAGAAGTACAGCCAGAGTGCTACTTAAAGGCAAGAATGATGAGACTTTATCTTCTGTACTTTGGACATGTTGTCAGGAGAGACCAGTCCCTGGAGAAGGACGTCATGCTCGTTAAAGTCGAGGGACCGTGACAAAGGGGAAGGTCCTCAAGGAGAAGATGGACACAATACCTGTAACCGGAGGATCAAGCAGGACGGGGGTATTTCATTCTGCTGTGTATAGGGTCGCTCTGGGTTGGAATTGACTTGATGGCAACTAGCAGCAACAACAACAGCAACATGTGTCTCTGTGTTACTCTCTCTCTCTTAAAAGAGTTTTTCTTCCTCATCCCTCCCAATTCCCTCTCTACCCCCCACTTTCTGTAACCATTGAAGTCTGCTGCTTTTGATGTGAAAACCTTATTTGCTCATTTTTTGTAATTTTCTTTTTATAATGTCTCATGTAGAATATGTGGTCTTTTATGGCTTCTTTTCATAGTTCTTTCAAGGTTTTTTTTTTTCTTTCGTGTAGCCATTATGAGTACTTTAATTTTTGCCTTACCAAATAATGTCTCATTATAGAAATATGACTTATTTATTTAATCGTCTTCTGTACCGATCTCGATTAGTAAGTTTTGCATCATTAATGAAAAGGATGGCAGTTCAAAGCCACCAGCCCCTCCAGGAGAGAAAGATGAAGCTCCCTACCCCCGTAACGATTGGCAGCCTCGGAAACCCTAAGTAAGGGCTCAAGGAGTTAAAATTGATTTGATGGCAGTAGGTCTTAGTTTTGGGTTGGATCCATCCATCTATAGATATTTGGATCGTTTCCACATTTTGGCTGCTAGTGAATCATACTGATGTGAACATTCATGTACAAGTTTTATGTGGATATGTGTTTTTATTACTTGTGGGCAACTGCTTAGTAGGATTGCAACTACTGGATCATATGGTAACACTATGATATTTATTTTTCTCATCAGTTTTACTGACTTATAATTCACACATCGTAGAACCCAGTAGTTTAATCACATTAAGGAGAGTTGTACAGTCATCACCACAATTTTAGAACATTTCTTCCTTGTGCTCATTGTTATTAGTATGTGTGGCAGTGGGTGGTACTGCCAGACTGTTTTCCAAAGTGATTGCTCCATTTGTCCATGTTCTCACCAACACTTGCGTTATTTTTCATTTTTATTTATAGCTACTCTAATGAGTATGAAGTAGTATTTCATTGTGCTTTTGCTTTCCACCCCCCTTATAACATGTTGCATTGAGCATGTTTTTACCTGCTTATTGGCAATTTGTATATCTTCTTTCTGAAAAACTAGATTCAAAACCATGGTCCTTATAAAAAACTGGTGTGTTGGTCTTTAGGGTTTTTGCGTTCAAGAGTTCTGTCTTCCAGTTACAAGTCGCTCACCTGATAGATGACCTGCAAATATTTTCTCCTATTCTGTAAGTTTTCTTTTCACTTGCTTGAGCTCTCCCTTGAAGTGCAGAGTTCTGAATTTTGATAGAAACCAATTTATTTGTCTTGCTTGTGCTTTTATGATTATATTTAAAAATCCAATGCCCAAACCATGGTCATGAAGATATGCCCCTATGTTTTCTTTGCTTTTTTTCTTAATCGTTTTATTAGACCCCTATGTTTTCTTTTTTCTTTTTTTTTTTAATGTAAAAAAGAAATGTGCATTTATTGTTATAATTATTCGTAAAGCTTTTCAGGTTTGACATCGCACCTTCAAGTTTCAATTCTTAAAATTAAGGTTCAGATATTTTTTAATCACAGTATCATTATCTCTGTCATCAAGAGAATTGGACTATCATTACCATGGTAAGAGCTTTAGCTGTGTTGGTGTCCTATTTCTTTTTTTTTTTTTTCTGTTTTTTTTTAACATTTTATTAGGGGCTCATACAACTGTTATCCCAATCCATACACACATCAATTGTGTAAAGCGCATTTGTACATCGTTTCTCAAAACATTTTCTCTCCATTTAAACCCCCGACATTAGGTCCTCATTTTTCCCCTCCCTCCCCGCTCCCCCCTCCCTCATGAGCCCTTGATAGTTTATAAATGGGTATTTTGTCATATCTTGCCCTGTCCGACTTCTCCCTTCATCCACTTTTCGGGAGGAGGTCACACACAGTTCCATGTAATCGGTTCCCTCTTTCCTACCCATTCTCCCTTTACCCTCCCTGTTTTGCCACTCACACCACTGGTCCTATAGGGCTTATCCGTCCTGGATTCCCTGTATTTTCAGTTCCTATCTGTACCAGTGTACCTCCTCTGGTCTAGCCAGTCTTGCAAGATAGAATTCGAGTCATGGTAGTGGGAGCGGGGAGGACCTATGTTTTCTTTTAAGAGTCTCATAGCTCTAGCTCTTACATTCATATCTTTGATTCATCATGCATTGATTTTTTTGGTATACAGTGTGAAGTAAGGCTCTAGCTTCATTCCTTTCTGTCTGTCCCAGCACCACTTGTTGGACCATACTTTCCACATTGAGTGGCGTTGGCACCTTTGTCAAATATGATCTGACCATAAACATGAGGGTTTAATTCTGGTGTCTCAATCTACAAAGACAAATCTTTGTCTCCTTGTGTTAGCAACACACTGTATGGACTACTGTAACTTTGTAATATGTTTTGTAGTAGGAACGTCTTGAGTCCTTCAACTCTATTCTTTTTCAGGATTGTTGTGGCTGTTTTGGAAGGAGGACAGTACTTTTGAGACAACTGGCCTTTTTGTCTATGATGTAGGAGCTAAAAACATAGTCCCATTTGGCCCTGCAGGTTTAGTGTTATTCCATCAGTCTTGCTGACTATTAGGATCACTTGCTATAACTTAGGACAAGCTGCACAACTTAAAACAACACATTCCTTCCTGTCCGATTTCTGTGCATAAGGAATCCAAGCACAACTGACCTGAGTCCTCTCAAAGTCTACTATCTATTGAATACGTTGGCCAGGACCAGGTTCTCCCAAGCTCAGCGGGTGACTGGCAGCATTGAAGTCCTTGTCAGCCACTAGCCAGGGGTTGCCCTCAGCTCCTTGCCACATGACCTTCATGTGTTGTTGCACACAACACGGCAGCCGGCTTCTTTAAAGCTAGCCAAGGAAAGACAGACGTTGCCCTCTTACGTACTGTCATCAAAGGAGTGACACCCCGTTACTTTCACCTTCCTCTCTTGGTTAGAAGCCAAGTTACAGGTTGTACCCACACTTGAGGAAAAGGGCATGAACATAGGAACTACCTTAGAATTTGTCCGCCTAACTGACTGAACTTGCTAAAGGGCTTAGCATTTGCCGGGGTCAGATGCTCTGGTGCCATAGTGGTTAAGTGCTCACCTGCTAAGCAAATGCTTGGTGGTTTGAACCCACTTGCTTTTCAATGGGAAAAACCTAGGTCTGTCTACTTCCCGAAAGACTTAAGGTCTTGAAGACCTTGCCTTGTAGTGTCATTGTGAGTTGCAATCAACTCAATAGCCTGTTAAAAAAGGGCAGGGTTGAAATGGAGACCGGGTGGAGAACCACGTGAAACTTACCTTGTAGTTAGTTGCTGGCTTCTGCTGTGAGTCACATACCGCAGGACCTCATGAGAGAATGAGTATGAAAAAGCTAACACTCTCATGTTATTTTATTTTATGCCTAGTTTGACTGAAGGTCTTTGGATCTTCTAGCGGCTACCCTGGTAATACACTGAGAGCCACTTCTGTAGGGAAGGTGTTTAGGACAGACATCGTTATCACATTACACAGTGAGTGTCCTATCCCATCACTGTTTCTATGAAGTTATAATGGTGACCAAGTGCTCAGGTTCAAATCTTTGTCTAAGAAACATAGCAGAACTGTCCTCCCAACGTCAACATTTGATTCCAAAGTTAACCGTCATAGACCTAATTTTGGTCGTGTATCAACCCCAGTGCGGCACTCTGGTGCACCTTAGGTTAGGCATTGGCTGCTAACTGCTGGGTCAGTGACTGATACTTGTGCAGAGTGGTATCATCACCTCTCGATTCTCCATTCCAAAGAAAGATGATCCAACAGAATGGTCAAATTATAGAACAATCTCACTGACATCACATGTAAGTGAAATTTTGCTGAAGATCATCCAACGATGGCTGCAATGGGGACTTGCTAGAGGCTCAGGCCAGATTCAGGACGTGGAACAAGGGATATCATTGGGGACATCAGATGGATCTTAGCTGATAGTAGAAAATACCAGGAAGATGTTTACTTGTGTTTTATTGACTATGTCAAGGTCTTAGACTATGTGGATCATAACAAACTATGGATAACGTTGAGAAGAATGGGAATTCCAGACCATTTCATTGTGCTCTTGTGGAACTTGGACATGGATCAAGAGGCAGTTTGCGAACAGAACAAGGGAATACTGCATGGTTTAAGATCAGGAAAGGAGTGTGTCAGGGTTGTATCCTCTCACCATGCTTATTCACTGTATGCTGAGCACATCATCAGAGAAGATGAAGAAGAATGTTCTTGACATTTGACATGTGTTCTCGGAATGTAGACATGGGAGGGCTGTTATAGGGACTGTTGCGTGTCAAATAGTCACTGAGGGGGCACAGGAGCGGGGTCCTGGTGATTCAAAACTGCTTGACACCGTGGCGTGTGCTTTTCCCACAGTGGTGCCTGCGGTGAGGTGAAGTTGGCTTTTGAGAGGAAAACGTGTAAGAAGGTAGCAATAAAGATCATAAGCAAAAGGAAGTTTGCGATTGGCTCTTCAAGAGAAATGGTAAGTACCTTTTCGGGTAGAGCTGTTCTTGATGCTTCTTAGCTTCTTAAGTGACCTTCAAGCCCAGGTAGCCTTAGCACTCAGCTAGGTGAGTTTGTGAAAACCATAGCTCCTTTCCAAATTCCCGTGATCATGAACACATTCAAGGGACTTTTCTTTAGGGGTGCTTTCGTGGCGAAAATATGGGGCTGTACTTAAGGACGCACGGAGCAGGAAGTGAATGATTTCCTTCCGAGTTCAAGGTTGTGAGGAGGCTGTTTTGACAACCAATGAAAGGACCCAAGGGGCGGGAGGGCCGAGGGGACCCAGCCGTGCTCCCACCACTGCAAGCCAACAGCTGTTTTCAGTTTTCCTCTTTCCTTCCACCCTTTGTTCATCCGAGTGTGTGTTTGTAGATGGTTGAGATCATACTCCATACACAAATCTGCTCTCTGCCTTTTCCACATATGCATCGTATTATAACCTCTTTCCTGATCCATCCTTCTGTGAGATCGTGTCTCTGTCGTCAGCTTCATTTGTCAGGATTTACTCTTGTGTTTTCATGGGCTGATCACGTGGGTGGCTTCCAAACTTTGGCTCCCCCAGGTAATGCAGCAATGCAGCGCTTGGAGTTTTATGCAATTTTTATTCTTGTTTTTGATTTTAATTAAATTACTTTAATAGCCCTTTTATAGATTAGCCATTCATTTTATGACCCTTTTCTGTAGTCCACGTTTACGGACTCGATGCAATGGCTAAATGTGTTGGCTGGGTTTTTTGTCGCACACGAGCCTCCAGAGGCATGTAAAACACGGCCCCTTGTCCCGTTTTTTTGTTGTGGCCAGCAGTTTCTGGCTATAATACTCCAGCAGTCTATAAAGATCAAATTTTAAAAATTCTCCCCGGACAATGCCATTCTCACGGGGCACAAGGAATTTCCTTTCTCTGTTCACTTTGTCAGTAGATTTTTTTCCCCCCTGTGATTTTGGATTTGTTTCCTGTTTGGCTGAGGTGGGGGGGCGCGGCCATATCTCCCAGGTTTCTAATGACCTGGGGCATGAGTTTGCTTTTCCATTTCATCCTCCAAATTGCCCTGGACGCTTTTGGACTGTTCTGTCATCCGATTACAGCCAGGCTCCTTGATGCGTTGCATTGCTTACAGGAAGAGGCAGGCTTTTACAATTAAACATCTGGGATGTGTAGCCAAAATCCTTTATACATGACCGTGTAACCCTATATCCTCCTTGCTTGCGGAGGGTGTAGTCTGGGCGGTTGAATTGCTCAATCTATCCTCTTGGAACTGTCACGGAGAATGACGACAGTGTCCTAAAGCCATTCTCTCCTTGGAACAAATCTGGGAGGTGTTTTTTTCTTCCTCTGAACGGGTGTAAATCTGTCAGCCTGCAGGGGCTGCTCCATCATTAGAAAGTGGCCTTGACATTTTCTTTGTGTATTTTAATGACCTACCTTCTCATCCGTGTCTTTTGCCCATCTGATGTTGTAGCGTGCATCAGTGGTCCCACAGCTAATGAGGCAAGTAAAGCTCGCACGTTCAGCATGAGAGCAGTGGAACCCGGGTCTCTTTCTGGGAGTGGGAACTGGGACAAGGACATTCTTTCTCTGAGCCTCAATTGCCTCACCTGTCAAGTGGGAATAGAATCTAGTTCACGCAATGGGCTGCTAACCCACCAGATACTCCCCAAGAGTGGAGATTTACAGTCTGCGAAACCCATGCGGGGAGTAGGTTCTCCCACAGTGATTCCACCCTGGTCACTGTGAGTTAGACTCTGCTCGATGGCAGTGGTGAGTGCACTTGGAGATTGAGAACTAGGTGAGATGATCCTTGTAAATGAAAAGTTCAGTACAGGCTTGGTGCATGACGTTGGCACCATGTATTGAATACTTAACTGTTTGCCCAGCCCTTTGCACAGAGCTGTGTAGTTCACTGCCCTCTCTGGGGCTGAGCCTCTTTAGGAACACTGAGCTGGGTTTGGAACTTGTGAATGTTAAAAAAAATATGCAGGCGATTATTAGTACTAATAAACTCTAATGTTATTCACCAAAGGATCCAGCTCTTGATGTTGAAACAGAAATAGAAATTCTGAAAAAGCTAAATCATGTAAGTATTGCTGTAAAATGTAACTTAAGTGCCCTTGATTTCAAAACATGGGAAGGGTCCAAAGCATTTCAACCCAATGAAGCTGGTGTGAAGCTACCTGAGTGTTGAGTGTGTGTGTGTGTGTGTGTGTGTGTGTGTGTGTGTGTGTGTGTGTGTAGCTGTTATTTAGTGAGGAGGACTTTCCCTGAAATTTCATCAGTTAGTTTTGTTCAGAAGACAACATTGATTTTAGTTAAATTTGGTTTAATTTTATCTGAACGTTTTTTTTACCTGAAGTTTTAATGTCTTGAACCACTGAGACTTTCCATTTATTTTTGTTGGTGTGCACCAAAGAAATCCAAGGGGATCCATTAAATATGAGAACTTCCTGTACCTATTAACTGATTTAATGATGTCTGTGGCCTTCGCTAACCACAAGGTTAGCTGCGTCCAGAAAGAGGTACAGTCTTGGAAACCCACAGGGGCAGTTCTACCCTGCTACATTGGGTCTCTGTGGATCAGAATTGACTCGACAGCAATGAGTTTGGTTTTTAGTGTTTGGTGGCCTTATTGGTATAGTGGTTATGCATTGACTGCAAGGTCAGCAGTTCAAAACCACCAGCCCTCCCACAGGAGAAGGGGGAGGCTTTTGACTCCTGCCAAGGGTTGCAGTCTCAGAAACTCACAGGGCAGTTCTCTTCTGTCTTAAAGAGTTGCTATGAGTTGGCATTGACTTTGGTTTTTGTTTTTGGTGGCCGTCTTGAAGTCCCTGTGTGACTTAGATGGTTAAGTGCTCAGCTAATAACTGAAAGATTGATGATTTAAAAAAAAAAAAAAAAAAAAAGATTGATGATTTCAGCCCTCCCTCAGGTGTCTTGGGAGAAAGGCCTGGCAATCAAGTTCCAAAAGATCACAACCATTGA